TGCTTTCACAAAAATAGATAATTGATTTGAAACCAAGTTCTGTTTCTCCTGGCCTAACAGTAAAATACATGTACATGCATGTTACTTTTTAAGTCAACCTCATTTAAACATGTTATTATATTTTTTCAGCGCTGGTTGGGAAGTGCTGAGAATATAACCAATGACAGCTTTGATTATTCCTATGTTTTAGGGCAGGTAAGACTTGATCTTCCTTTCATTCCTTTCCTTTACCCGGGGCATATTCACGAACAAACCCCTGGTAATACGTGTAATGTGTGACGTCATAACGGCGGGCCGTAGTAATGGCGGTTCATAATGAACATTCGAAACATTTTGGAGAGTTTTCATGTTCGAATCGTAATATAGACCTCAGAGCAGGTATAATATCGTCGAATACACCCCTTAGGGCTAGGCAACAAAAGCTTTTGAACCCCTCACGCCCTGCAGGGTGTATTCGACAATATTACCCCTGCTCTTGGGTCTATATTTCTTAATCAACATCCTGCTTTTTCACAAAACTAAAGTGGAGGTGCAGGGAAGAAAAGGCATTTTTTACATTGAAACAAGTAGAACCTGAATATTAGATATTATTTAAATACAATGAGGGGGAGCTGAATATTTGTTTTAGTTTCCCCATAACTGATGATTTGACCCTACCCTCAGTTGATTCTGTTTGCAGATCACCTCTATCATAGGTCACTTTGACACGGATCAAGCTATTGAAGAGCTAGAAGGTGCCACAAAGGACATTCATACTCCAAATTATGATGCCATATATCAGTTTATGACAGCACTGTTAAAGAGAGAGGTTCCCAAAGAGCTACCAGCTCTTGGTAAGTATTCAATACATTTTCGCCTTATTTAGGGTATTATCTCATCATTTTCATCTGAATCTGAATCTGAAAAGGTTTTTAGATTAGCAACTGAGGATATTTTGTCAATGTAAGGTGAATTTTGAGTTGAATGAATAGAGTAAAGAGATCTCCGTTTATTTCATTGCAGAGTGTGCAGTGGTGCTCGACCTGTTACATAACCTGGCTGGGGAACTGCATGGCATGGACACTGAAATGCAGAAGTTACTTATGTTGAAGAAATGGGACTTGTTACATGTTAAAGTGGACCCTCGTTCGAGAGGAAAAGCTTATGACTCAACCAGGATGGCCCTTGAGGAAGGTCTGTAAAACTTTATTTTGATTCCTTTACTAATATCACCATTGACATACTGTAGGTGGAAACTTCCATGTACAAGTTCATACAACAGTGGCTCTAATAAATGTAGAGACTTTCTAGACCACAGTTTTTATTCAATATTTGAATCATTGAATAACTTATAGTGGCAGGGCAGTTGAACTTTTTGCACCACATGTTGAACTTATTATTATATGGAATCATCCACTCTTCTGTCTGTCTATCCATCCATATGTGAGCCCATTCTTCAAATGTAACTTTTGACTTGGGTACTATATGGATGACAGTGAAAATTAAAACCTTCTGAGCCAGGAGTCCCCAAAATGGGGAACCTCTTAACGTTACTGTTCTCACCATTCCTTACTAATTAATCTGTTAAAAAATCCTAGAAACATTTTTTACCACCAGAACAGACATTGTGGTGATATAGTAATAGTCTCAAACTTTTTTGTGGATGGTGTTCAGTGGTCAGGATTTGGCGGTCGGTGTCTTACAAATCCTCACAGCTTCCAATAAGTTGTGGTGGTATGTTGTCATTTTAATGCTTTGTTTGATTACTTGATAATAAAAGGCACCTGTGAGGCACCTTCACCAACAAACAGCCTCAACAAAAATTTCCAACCAACCAAACAAACATTCATCTTTCTTGACTTTGATTTCAGATCCTTTAGAAGAGGCTAATGTAGAACAACAAGTGCTGTCTCCCACCCCTGCCTTGCACCAGGAAATTGAGAGAATGACAAGTCCCGACCCACCACAACCCCCACCTAAGAGGAAAATGACAAAGAAATATTCAGGATCCCAACCTCCTCCCTCTCCAATGAGCATTTCGGTCCCTGCTTCTCCAGCCCCTTCAAACACTGACTCAATGATCTCAATGAATACAGACTCGCAAGACTCGACAAATATGAACTCGGATACAGCAAAACTGGACACACAATCTAATGATGGTAATCATAACCAGAACATTGAAGGGACTACAACTAGGCAAATATTGGACATTATGAGCAATCCCCAACCATCAACAAGTTCAAGCTCAGTGCAAAATGAAAGGTTCCCAGGATACCTTGACAAACAAATAATGTCTCCAGGCAACGAAAGTCTGCACAGTGAAATATCCCAGGTATCAACATTGGATTCTGATGTTTCGAGGTTTTCTAATTTGAGTGGGCGATCACGAGATTTTTCACTTCTCCCGAGCAAATCATCTTTGTTGTCATTGAATCCTTTCTGCATCCCAGTGAAATATCTTAACCCTCAACCAAAACAAACATGATCAACATTTGTGTTCAGAGGTATTATAGCTCATTTGAGGAGACATGGTGACCCAAAAGCAGTGATACTTGAATTTATTTCTCACATCACTCTGTTGTGAGAATTCGGCTTGAATAACACTGTTAATACCAGGTCGTTCAATAAGTTCCCGGAAAAACGCTCTCATTTTGTTAGTCTGTAGTATTTTTTATTGAAATTTACACAGTATGTGTAAAATTTATTTAGAATTTATGTATAGAAATATTTTTATACAATACTTCATATTTATTAACTTATCCTTGATAATGTGACGTCATAAAAGGGTATGCGGGGCACTATTTTGACGTTAAAATTTCACAATTTTCAATTCATTCATCATATGTTCACATTTTTTGTATTTGTTTTATTTCAACTGAATAAACAGTCCTGTTGCCATGGTAACTATGTGACATCATATTACTGCTGTACAAGATGCAAAAATTCCTTGAATTGATGACATCATACATATTTGCATGACATCACACAACTAATGCATGACATCAGTCATTAGTCAGACACCAAAATGGCTACTGTCCTCTAGGATATTCCATCAGGACAATGCTCCAAGCCATAGGTCTAACTTGCTGCAGGACACCATTTCCATCAATCTCCAAATGGAACTGCAAGACCAGGCACCCTATTCACCTGATACGGCAGTATTAGATTTTGCTGTTTTCAACAGATTGAAGGAAGCTCTGAGGGGGATTCGCTTTGGCTCAGTTGATGATCTTAAAGCAGGTGTTCAGAATGGACTAAAGGAGAAGTTTCAAGCTGGGTTATGTGACCAATACAAGCAATGGGCTATGTATTCAACACGATGGTTCATATTTTGAGCATTTAATGTAGATCACAGTGGAGGACTATGTGAATATATAATCTTACAAGCATACAAAGACATCAAAGGGTGTTAATTATATTGTAAAATGTGACTAAAACGTTTAGATTTAATGATCCAAACCGTAATATTAAACAGTGCCCCGCATACCCTTTTGTGACGTCACATGATGTTGGATAACTTAAAAACTAGTTCGACGTTTTCAAATTAATTTAAAACAATGATTTGAAAATAAATTGCACACATACTGTGAAAATCTCAATGCAAAATATAATAAACTAATAAAATGAGAGCGTTTTTCCGGGAACTTATTCAACGACCTGGTACATATAAGATTTTGTAATTTTACATATCTGGCGTATTTATCGATGATGTTGCAGTTTCATAAAACTTATATTGAATCACTGCATTGGGGCTTATTTTGAGTCTGGAGGGACACTCGTCTATTGTTTTTTGAAATCATTAATTACTTGAATTTGACCATTCACAAAAATGATAGGGATAATATGAGAAGGGAAAGCAACACAATGTAAAGATAACCAAAAAGAAATGACAAAATAAGGTAGAGATTAAAAGGTGGATTGGATCGAGTGGATTGGATTCATGTAAAAGGTGGATTGGATCGGGAATCGTCAAAATGTGGAATTTCTTATAAAAAAAATTTCTGTTGATCTCCCTCTAAGCAATTTCCCTCTACAGTATTACAGGTCCCTTTTGAGAAATCAGAACAAAGCAATGACAAATACATACTCCAATTAGTTCATGGACACTCTTAAGTATTTAACCGCTTTCCCTTGTAAATCAACTTTTGTAAGACATAGATCTTTAGAAAAAGAAAACCTGTCATTCAAATTAATGTGTGAATGTTCACAAAACATTTTTGGAATGTTCAGTTTGGATTGAAAACAGATGATATGGATCTTCAAACCAGTCCGCCTTATGATTTATGAAATGTCTCAAATTACACTTGGAATGAATAAGATTGTGTATCAGAAAGCGGGTACCAGGTCATCCTTCTAGCCCACCCAAGCAAAATAATATTACATCTATTATTTGACATTGTGCAAGTGAAGAGAGCACCAATCTTCCTAAAGGGAGATCAATACAATTTTTTAAAGGAAATCCATATTTTGAAGATAGCCAATCCAATCCACCTTTTACATGAATCCAATCCACTCGATCCAATCCACCTTTTAATCTTTACCCAAAATAAACACATAAACAAAAATAACTATAGCTATATATTCTGTTGTTTATTTCAATATAAAATTGTACAAAATACAGTATAGTTTGATTTGATTTCGCCCTATAATGCCGTCTTTGACATACTAGTTCTTTAGCCACAACAACCATATTTTCAAACAGTATGGCATGTATGGTGCAATATGTAATTACTGACCTCTCTTGAGGTCGACTGTCAAATCTGAATCTTGGCAATTTAAAAAATGAAAAAACCAAGGCTTTTGAGAGTCAACCACTAGGAGAGATCTAAAACGACAGCAATACTTAATTAGCATACCAGTAACTTTATTTAGGGCACTGTTTGGTTTATATCTATACACCATGATCTACAAGGAACATAAGGCATACATATACACAACATTGGCCATAAGGTATATAAGCTACATTGGCCATAAGGTATATTAGCTACATTGGCCATAAGGTATATTAGCTACATTGGCCATAAGGTATATTAGCTACATTGGCCGTAAGGTATATAAGCTACATTGACCATAAGGTATTTATGCAACATTGGTCACAAGGTATATAATCTACATTGGCCAAAAGGTATATACGGAACATTGGTCATAATGTATATTAGCTACATTGGCCACAAGGTTTATAAGCTGCACTGGCCATAAGGTATATAAGCTGCACTGGCAATAAGGTATATAAGCCACTGGCCATGAGGCATATAAGCTACATTGGTTATATAACATAAGTTACATTGGTCATATGACATGAGCTACATTGGCATGTCAGATAAATTGACCATATGACATGTACATAAGACACCATCCATGTCCATTGCCCATTAAGATTAGGTATATAAACTCATCATTACTCCAGGAACCATGTGAGTTGCACTGCTCATTCATAAAGTGAATATGCATTTTATTGTCCATAATACATATAAGCTCGAATATCCATGAGACATGAGGTACATTGAAAGATGACGTATATGAGTCTAAGATTCACCATTTATCCATTAGCTAACATTTTAGCCTTAAACAAGTGCTGATTATTTCCTAGGCATAAGAGCTTGAAGCTACTGAAGATGAGAGCGAGACTGTTGATGAATACCTCAGCATATTACAATATGTAGTTAGGGCCTGAAAATATAATAAAAACAATGATTACACAAAGCAAGAGGATTTACCATATACATAAGCTTAGGGGTGAAAGAAATGATTTTTACAGGGTGGGCCAAAAAAAGACGTCCATATTTTTTATTTCGATCTTTTTGAAAATGCACGGATTTCAATAAAATTTTGGCAGGAATCAATTTTACAATTGAGGAATGAGGAAACATTTATTCAGCATCAAGAGAAAACAGTGATTTTGGATAATCTATCTTCACTGTGAAAGCTATTCTGACATCTTATTTGCAACAAGAAAGATCAGTATGGTGGGGGATTGAGCCCACACACTAAAGAACCTGTTTCTTCATTGTCCTTTAAGACTCGGATTAACCTTATTAAATATAAATTAAAAGTCAATAAGGGAAAATCATTTTTCAACAAAACTTTCGCCTGTCAGTGAGATAACAGGAAAGTAGATCTTGAATACACACCTTTTTGGGTTGCAATATAAACCAAAACAACGCAATAAGGTGTGTATTAAAGATTTACTTTCCTGTAGCATGGATTTCATTTTGATACTCATTACATCTTACGGTCTTGTAACCAAGAAGCTGCTAAGAATAACAAAGTCATATGGAGGGAGCATGCAGGTCCCTATGTTTTACCTTATAAATAAATGCATACTGATGTACAGTCTGTACACTGCCAGCCCTGTCTTCACGTATAGTATCTACACTGTGTAGGACATCCACCGTGTGGGTCTCTATGCCTTACCTTATAAATGAATGCATACTGATGTACAGTCTGTACACTGCCAGCCCTGTCTTCACGTATTGTATCTACACTGTGTAGGACATCCACCGTGTGGGTCTCCTCATATTGTCTCATACAGATGTCTACTGCAATTACTGTGCCTGTCCTACCCGTGCCTGGACTGCAATATGAAGATATAGGTCCATATGATTCTAATATTAAGAATATATTTAAGTTAAGACCAGTGGGCTTATTTGATATAAGACTCATTCAGAATTCAGCTGAGAAAATGTAACAAGCTAATCAAGTGAAAATGTCACTAGAAAATACGAAGGCCATAATGCTATTTTGACAAAATTGATCCAACTTTTTATGAAAATACCACAGAGAAAGACAATGAACAAACTACATGTAACTGCTTGTTTTCTGTTGGTTAGGTAACATGTTAATGACGTCACAAATTAAAATATAATCAGCAGTGATGTGTGACATTTAGCTTTGTCATTTGTTTAGTTGATAGGGCAATAAGTATCTGGTGTCATAGTTTATGTAATACTACGTCATATCTTCATCACAATCACAACATATGACGTCATGATCGTTGCCTTGGTCTTATGAATAATAGCTAAGAATGCTACAGAAATGCACCCCTGGTCCATATAGTTATTCAACAATTGTTCACTGTTTTAACTTACATAGATGGGGATTCCTACCTGCAGTGCACTATGGGAGGTCCATGGCTCTCTTCCATAAAGGGCCTCACATCCACCAGGAACTTCAGCACAGACTTGGCACTGTCTGGTACCCCATGGATTGGCCATGATGTGTACCAAAAATGGGTCACATAACGACAAAGATTTTTCTTGAAAAAACGAAATGAAGAACATAATACGAGGTATCTTAAAATTCTTGAAATGACTAGATATCTATATAGTGTTACACAGATTTCAAATTAATCATGGACTGGAAGTGACATTTGGAATAAAATTAATTTGTCATGCTTCTATCCAGCTAGAACACAGATACCCAACCAAAGCATCCTCCGTATATTTTCCTGAGTGTTTATATCTTTGAGTAAGAGTGTAGATATAGTATTGAGATATCTGACATACCTCAATATCTTTGAGTAAGAGTGTAGATATAGTATTCATACCTCAATATCTTTGAGTGAGAGTGTTGACACAATACAGTCAGGTTTTTCTTCCCTAGCCTTCAGAACAACTTCATAATCCCCATACAATTGTAAAGTATCTGTTCCCTCAGGGTCTTCATCTGGCCAATAGGGGGCACACTTAGACTGGAAATGAAATGGTGAACACAAAGTTAAAATCAAATCAAATGAAAAAGAAACAGTACAAGCTGGTTAAATCTGAGAATGATGTTGCTACATAGAAAAAGCAATTATTATCATGGGATAACTTGGACACAGTAATCAATGTGGTTACTTTGATGAACCACATTTCTTCAGAAGCATGGCATTTCAAATTTTATGTTATTCAAGTTTATCTAAGTTATTTTACAACTAAAAAAGTAAACAGGCAAAATTTAAAGTGTCTGCATTTAACTAAATATATCCTCACCAAGCCATGTTCCTCCAGATCTGTCAACATGATGATCACCTGGCTTTGCTGCTCCCAGACCATCCTCCAGAAATCATTCACAGTATCCTCTAATGGAGCCTGTGTGGCTATGTAGCATCTTGCTTCATCTGCATAACCCTGGAATAGTTATTAAAAGAGATTCAAAATTGGGCTTATCTCACTCAGCATGATCTAATTTCAATAGCACACAAAGGTGACATAAAATCATTTTTACCTGACAAATCTTAGTATTGATGTATCGTGATGTGTTTCTTACCCTGGTATACTTTTAAGTACTTGTGTACTGTGTTTCATGCCCTAACATAGATAGCATTGATGTACTGTTTCTTACCCTGACAAAATTAGTATTCATGTACTGTAAACTTTTCTTACCCTAACATAGTTAGCATTGATGTACTCTGAATGTTCTTCCCCTGTATCACTCAGTTTCACCCTGGTACTTCTCACTAGAACCATAGATTGATTTGTAACATGTAATATGTATCCAAATATAAATCTCTATATTCTTATTCAGATATTGATGGTAAGGAAAAAGTGTGTTATACAAGTGTATTACAGAAGTTAACCTGACTAATTATAAGCAAATTGAAAATCCCATGTTTGTGACATAATCCGTGAATATTGGCATATTGTTTGGAATTTAACATTGCCATATTTTTAAAATATAACACTCACATTTAAACATGGCATAATATTGGCATATCACATTCTGTAGTAACACCTTACAATGCGCACTGAACCTTTTATCTAGCGCCATATTTTGTCTATACCTTGCATTATACATACGAGTATACTATACCTGGTATGACATTGGCATATCTATTCTTATCCTCTGCACCTATTGGAACTTCAGACAGCTTTGGCATAAAATTGGGCAACAACTTTAAAAATAACCACAAAATATGTAAAGCCACAAGTAGAAATAATATTTTAGTTAGAAATACATTAATGAATATATTCATTCAAACAGCACTAGAATGCGGGAAGTAAGAGCAATGGTGACAAAATGCAGACAGAATTTTTTTAAGGGTTTCAAACATTTCTGGACACAATCATACATGTACTTCATGTGTACTGTTATTTTTAGTGCTGTATTTATAGATATAATTTCACGAATTAAAATCATATTTTCCAGCAATGACTTCAAATTCGGAACCACACCCATATCACATTTTCTTCAATAACTCCAAACATGTGTAAACATTGACCATGTGCATATAAATTCAGATTTCACGAGCTCTTTCCTATTCGAGTACCTCATACACCCCTGCATGGATTTGAGTTGGATTCGCCTTTTATACGTGAGCCGACACACTCGCAAACGCTGATTGGATAAAGATTGCGAGAATCTTTAATTGTATCACTATTATTTGTTACAAAGTTGTTTCTATTTTATTGTTAAAGAGTCATGAATTTGATTTCTCTGAATATGTAACTAAGTGTGTTAGAATGTAACTGTTACCTGATATTCATCTGTTATTCCCTCCCAGTTGTCTGCAAATGATCCCAGTTCATGGAAATCCATGGGTCGACTTAACACTTCCTGTAATACAAGTGTCAATTTTTCTATAATAAGGTTCACTTGGTATATTATCAATTTTTCAGTCAAGAAGTATTATTTTTATTATTAAAAAATATTTTATTTGTCTAACTGTTCATTACATTATCTTACAGAATGACAACTTCTAAAAATCATTTGGAGATATTTTGCTATTTTTTAATTCATTGCAATACATATTACAGTAGTGTTAATTGCATTGCTGTTATTTTTATCAAAAGTACATATTCATTTGTGTCTTTATATCCACATTGATATGTTGTTTGTTGCTGACCTGTCCAAGATCCATTGCCTCATTGATGTAGCCAAGGTGGTTTGCAGCTCTATTTGAGTGATTGAAAGTTGTAAGATGGATGGATTCTACACTGTGGGTGGAATAAGTGTCTCCACATTCGTACTCATAAGTCCTGGCCATCTTCTTGCCTCTACGCCTTTTGAACAATATCTGCAATAAAATGTCTAAATTTAATCAACTTCACTAAAGTATTCAAATGATGGTATTGATATGTCCAAGAGGACTAAATTCAGTTATTGGAGTTCACAAATACTCAAAAATATTCATGAGAGAAATCGAAAATTGATTAAATTGTTGAAAATCTGTTTTATGTCTGTACATTACAATATATGGTATAAGTGGTACATACTAGTACCTGCAAGACAATCAAGCCTACAAAGCACACCCCTGCAATACAGGCAAGAGTGATAGCCACTATGACGCCATCACTCATGTGCTTGCGTACCACCTGTTGAGAATGTGACACCTTCAGTTTACCATGGACCTTATACTCCATTACCTTAAAATAAAAAAGTCATGTTTGTTGAGGTTGTGAGGTTTAGTATTGCACCTAAAATGATTGTTAAGGGTTGAAATTTTGTTCTTTAGTAATATGTAATATTGATTCATTTCAATTATATAATTATTCAGTTGTATCAATTACCAGTCCTATCCCAATGAGTGTTTTTGTCTTGCCATCAAACTCTTCACTTATAGTATTGGCCAGAACACTGGTTAAGTCATAGCTGTATCCCCCCTTCTGGTCAGTCACATATATGTCTATGCGGATTCCAATTGAGACATCTCGCTTATTGATACTCAGTTTATCAGGAACCACACCATGAATATATGCAAGTTTGCGACTTCTGAATACATCAAGTTTTTCATTTTGTTCATCACAGTATTTATGGTTCATGATTTTCACCTGTTCTGTTTTGATTGGTTTATGTAAGCCAAGATTGACCATCTTAGTCATCATTGTTAGGAACTGAGGAACCTTCAAGCAGAATTCTGACCAAGTCAATTTCATAACTATGGTAACATACAATGAAGGTTTGATTGGTTTACGGATAGGTTTACTTGTTCTTGTAGTGATGAGGCCTGGGATTGTTCCAGTAAAGGGCTGGTGAGAGAATGGGTGTTTGGTGATTTGTTGTGGCTTTTTATAACCTGGTGTGGTTGATATTGGTGTTAAAGTTGATTTTTTAAATAATGTTACATGTTTAGTTATTGAGTTCCCAGTGTCTGATATTGGGATTGAAGTATATTTACGATATGTGGTACTAAAAGGAGATTTTCCTCTACTGCTAACATAATCCTTTGTAACTGCTTCAGATTTAGGTTCTTCTGAGACTCCACTTTTTGTTATTGGTCCATTTGAGGTATTCACAATTGATGAAGTCGTTTCATCTGTTAAACCTGTAGGCAAAGTTGTTTCAGATTCAGCAGTTTGTACTGTAGATGATGCAAATAGAGACATAATTGATGTTGCTGTTGATAAAATAGTGTAATTTGGTAATGTTGATACTGACATTGTAGTTGTCCTTGTAGTCATATATGAATCACTAGAAATCACTTGTATTGATGTAGCGATTGGTCCAATTGATGAAAATGAGGACATTAATGATGATGTCGCATGTGAATCACTAAATATCATTTGTGTTGATTTTGTTGTTGGTATACATGAGGAACACATTCCTAGGGATGACATTGAATCAGAATTCATTGAATTGGAAATAGGAGAAGTGCCGATTGAAGTTTCCAATGCACTGTTCAACAATCCAACTGACGGAGTTGACATTATTTTTTGTAAAAGAAGTCCTCCACTAGACATTGTTGTTGGCATTGAAGAAGATGAAGAAAAAGTCACTTCTGATGAATCAGAAAGAATCATTGCACTTCTTGAATCAACCTTTACTGTTTGTGTTGCCAGTCTCATATGTGTACTATCAATCTCTATCAATGATCCTGTTAATGTAGATTTTGCATCCAATGGGACCTGAATTGTTGATCCAATATCGGTAGATAATATTGATGATTGTAAGCCAAATGATGGCATAATAGGTGTACTTGTTCCATCTGATGATATAAATGAACTAGATGAGCTTATCATACTTGGTATACTTTCTACTGGTATTGTGGCACTCCATATGATATCTTTTGTTTGTGAGACTTTTTGGTTTTGAATAGGGTCTAAGGTTGCAGATAATGATTTGCTTACAAATGAAGGGGTTTGCAAAATGCTAGTGTACAATGCAGTTTCCAAAGCAAGCATTGATGATGAAACAAATCCATATAATGCTTTTGTTGATCGTGACTCTGTTTTACTATACTCTTCAGCAACTTCAGAAGCATTTCTACTTGCTGAAATGTGTGAAACTGTGGAATGCAGGATTGGTGTGGAATTATGCAAGGTCACTGATTTGGTCTGATTTGATATATCCAATGGATGTTTTGTAAGGTTGTCCAGATTTTCAGATTCCTCAAAGGTTGTATTAAACAGATGTTCTTGTTTTTCCTTTGGATTATTATCAGTGATGACAGACACACTTTCCATTTGTAGAGAGCTAGAAGGATCATTGTCACTGGATATAACTGTTGTAGCTACTATTTCAATTGAAGAAATGAAGGCATTATCTGTGTAGCTAATATCATATTCACTGAAAATGGATGCATCCACTGGATGAGTTGAATATAGTTTTTGTGGTGGGATAAAAGTTGGTGTCTTTGATGAATACTGATATAACATAGTTTCATATGAGGACGTTTGTAATTGAATGTCTGTATGACATCCCTTAATTGTAGAGGAGGGAATCAATGATATGTGGTCAGTGGCATACTGATCATCATTTTGAATGTCTGAATATCTGCTTGCTGAGTTAACTGTTGATGTAGCAGTAGGTATAATGTTAATATATTCTATGGATCCACCACCTGTACTAATGGTAATACTATTGGCATCATTTGAGAGGTTGTCAGTACTGCCACTTAAACTTGTAGGGTGTATATCAATCCCTTCAGGTGTAGAACTGATCACCTGGAGGTCTGTTGAACTTGCTAGATTGGTTTTAACAAGGTCTATCTGGAACCAGCAAACTGAAAATTACAAATTTTAGATATTCTTACAGCAAGCATTCCAATCATGACAATAAAAAGATGAGAGATTATTCACCACTATTTGCTAGCATATTTGATATCATGGATTTGGATGCTGTTTTTGTAGTCTGTTTTGCATTTCAAAGTTCAATTTCTTACTCTTTTCCTCGAATACTCTTTAATACTTCACTGTAATTAAATATTAAATGATTTAAAGTCAAAATGTATATACACTTACCCAGAGTTAGTTGTAAACAAAATGCAACTTTGTAATCCATGTTGGCAAAAGTTATAGCCATCTGAAAAAGACAAAAATATATGTACTTATTTTGGGATTAAATTGCTATCCTAATAGTAAACAATCCTTGCATATTGACAGTCCATGGAGTGAATGGTAGAAATAAACGTATAATTAAAACAGGTGTGAGGTACATGTATTAGCTTTAAAAGTGGTGCACAAGTGCGTCACATTTCTACTATACCTCATGGCTAGTTAAATGAAAATTTTGATGCTCTTCATGAGGCATCATAGATCATAAAATAATTCATAAATTCTGATATGATTTTCACAATAATTAATTTTACAGTGAATAGGTATCAAAAATGTAATGTTTCCAATATGACTAACGGAACTATTAAACAGTGATAACATGTTCATAGTTTTCTATAGAAATAACGATCCCCTGAATGAGTCATGGGAAAACATGTCAGTCATTTGAACCATTTGGAAAGACTCAATTCCATACCCATAATAGAGCATGTTCAAGGATTCAAGCACAGTATTAGCTGAAATGCAAAAAGGGAAAACATTGAAATGTACACCAGTCATAAGGAAAACAAACCTGAACTATCCCAAATCATAATCCAATGTGAAAAGAAACGATGTCTAATTCCCCTACTCAAACCATTTAGTACTTATATCACAATCCAAGACCAAGACGACACAAATGGATTTTCATTCATACTAAAGTCATTATAATACAAGTTGAAGAATAAATTTTAATTGATAACCAACATTCATACCATCAAAAATAATTGTAGATACTAGATATAATGTTTATACAGAATTCACTCTTGAGCAGTCCATAAGCATATCAAACGGTAAACACTCAACATCCATGCTCAAAAAATACCTAATGACACACTACAGCACTACCCTACCACGTGACCATATTTAAGAAGGATACAGGGTACAGTTAAGTTGCAAATGGAGCGGGTATTCTCTATCTCTATCTTCCATTGGGCTTTTCTGGTAATAATACGTTGCAAACTGCTCGATGAATTCATACAATGTATAGTAAAACACTTGGAATATATAAAAAATCTAGTATACCTTCAGAACTATGGAAATAAACAAACGTCCTCCATTTGCAACTTTGCTGTAGCCTGTATTTCTTTTAAAGGAATACAGGATACAGTATGGGGGTATAGTAGTGTGAATGACATTTTGCAAAAACAACAATATTTGAGATACAGTAAAACCTGAGTTAGTGAACACATCTCTCTAGTGAACACCTATTAACAGTGAACGTTTTTATTCGGCAAAACCTTTTTCTCCCATTGACTCCCATGTTAAAGTGCAATCCTATAGTGAACACCTACCAACTATGAACAGTGAACACTAAACCCTGGCAAAATCAATTGAATTATCCTGTCTCTAGTGAACATTGAATCAGATATAAGATTTCTCGCGGATTTTCTGCAACTGCCTTATCAGAGTTAAGCAGTTTATGTTTATATTACCTGCCAAAAATAATTAAAAGGTCAATTTGAGATCTTGATCTCTTCTATTGAAACAGGTGTGACTAATTATAATTCTTAATAAGCTTTGTTTTTGTTACAAAGGATATGCGTCTGGGATTGATTGCTTGGAGATAATCTGGTTAACTATTATTACCTCTATCTGCTAAGTCCCAACTTAATCTTTTTTCTCATCCCGTCAATTTAAAAAAAAACGATTGGATCAAAATTATAATTCATGATCATTTCACTATTAACTGCATGTATCATGTCCTTTAACTAATTCAATAAAGTCCTTTAACTGACTCAAATGTCTCAAAAATTCCACTATTTAAAGGACCATCTTGATGAGATAAAAATAATTATATAGAGATAAAAATTTGACAATAAAAGGATGAACCATTCAGATGACAGTCAGTCTAAAATAAGTCAGTTTGTATATAGCATTACAACAAATTAAATACTAACGCTTGAGTGTCATGGGTTAATATGGGTAGAAAATACAATTTAAATTTATTATTCAAATATGAATATGTTTTAATTCTTTTTAAGACTCATTTTAGTTTGATAAAATGTGCTGTTTTAACCAACATGGAATTGTGGATATTTTTCGATTACATGCACCTTAATGTAAGAATGCCACTGTTAAAAAAGTGTATGTCTAAATAAATAAATAATTAATAAATAAATATTCCCTCCTCTCTTTTAATAGTTTACTGTATAGTCAAAAATATTTTTTTAAAAAAACATGCAAAAATGATGGTTTTGAGTTTTTAATTAATATTTGAAATTCATATTATTTCATACGGCCATCTTGAAAATCTCTTCTTGAACAAAGTTCCTTTGTCCCTAGGCATCAAAGTATAAAATTTGAACCAAATCCGTCAACTCATGTTTGAGTTATCAAAGATTACATTTTTTACGAAAAATAGCGGCCATTTTAAATTGAGCAACTATATTCAAAACTCCTTTTCGAGCAGAGGTTCTCCCACCATACGGCATAAGCCTATAAAATTTGAATCAAATCCACCAACTGGTATATGAGTTATCGCCCGGACAAGCGCACAGATGGACAAACGTACGTACAGACGCATGGACAGATGGACCGACGGCTTTTCTATTACCCCTCAAATGAATTTGGTTAGGTGGGATAATTATAAACTACGTATCACATACAAAGCTACAATACAAGACAAAATGATTTAGACTTGACAAGTACTTTTTAATGGATTAAATGAACCAACTGATGAATAGAGAAGGATGAGTGCTCTCTGTATCCATACTTAAACTTTGTCTGGTGGGACGAAAATGTGCTACAAATTTGCTTTTAACAGACTGCTGATTACAATATGCAATTAGTACCAACAATCTTGAAATGACTCATATCTCTGGGTATATATATAAATAATTCATTGTACCACAATACAGGACATATTAGGATTGAAACTGCAGAGATTATAACCAAAGAGACAAACAGGCAAAACACAAAATTCCTATGACTAATGTCATTAGATACGTATAAGGAATAATTAATGTATACAATTAAAACATATATTTAAACAGTATAGAATTAACACGAGGGCACACTGCTACACCATACATATATAAACAGGTAAAAAAAGTATGCCTCAGTTAGTAAATGAACACTACTTATTTGATCCACCCCATGTTGGATATTCGATTCTGCTGGTCTGCATCTATGTTATCATCTTGGCATCAAACATATCAATCATGTATGTGGTGGGAAGAACAACACAACTGCACAACACAGCAGGTTATTGTATGTTCACGGTGGCTTTGATGAACTTCATATGCGGGACAATGGATATAATAATACTTCCAAACATTCTACAAGGAGATATCACTACACTTAAATGTTCAATTTTGGGGCTAGCTTTAGTTGGTGCATATTTTTCAAGTATGCTTACATTTGTTTTTATGAGCATTGACAGAGCCTTGATGTTGCGATTCCCACTCAGATATTCTCAAATGATGACGACAAAGCTAGCGATTATAGTTTTAGTTTGCATTTGTATAGTCTGCTATTGTTTACCTATACCTCTTCTGTTTGGTGAAGGGATCTATATAGATTATGGATACGGTTGTGAAGTAAACTATAAATCTAAGTCTGCATATAAGTTCGTTATCATGGTTTTTGGATTTTTAATGCTCCTCTGCATCACAATAGCGCATACCTCCATCTTCTTTGTTGCTAGGCAACAACAGAAGAAGATTCTTGAACTTGAGATAATTGGAAAGGAGAATATAAATGATTCAAAAAGGAAGTTCAAGTTACAAATGAAAGCTGTGAAAATGCTCCTCATAATCATTGGAACTTTTTACATAATGTGGACTCCTTATATTAACATAATGATGTTGTATGTGGCGATCACAGGATCAGCTGTCTCAATACCTTGGATGATCACATTATCAATGTTACTAACAAGATTAAGCACTTGTTCTAACTGGATAATATACCTTTTGACTGACAAAGCATACAAAGAAGGGTTCAGAAAATATGTTCTTTGTAAAAAGCAGAACTTCATTGCAGCAATAGGGCATTAATCATAGGATAGGCTAGGTTACTGGATATACTATGAAACTGATACTGTACAATATATAAATTTTGCTTATTTATTGTTCATAATAGTAATAGATAAATAAGAGTTATGTACTGGGAGGTTTTGGATATGGGGTTCCTTAAATGTTTCAACTATAAGCTGTGACCCATGGCAGCAACCACAACCCCCCCCAACCCACCTCCCAACTACTTGATTTGATTTGAAAACTATATTTATTCTGGGTAGCTCTATCAGTACAAAACTGGTCTTCCTAGAGGCCCAGTAATAATTTACAATTATTTACGATATGTACAGTGAAATATAGAAACATACATATAGATATATATGACATATAGAACAATTTGATATATGCATCTTCAAAGTATGCATTTACATGAAACATAGAGAACAACTTATAAGAGAATTACATGAATATAAGGATCAATGTCTTTAAATCAGCTACTGTACTATCAATCAGTAAAAGTAGGTCAACTGGATTTTGTCTGTCCCACATCATCTCTATCTTGTATGAATAATACTAGTATCTACAACTATTTTTGATGTTATGAGAATTGGTTATCAATTTATATTTATTCTTCAACATGGCTTCAGTATAAATGAAATGTCCCTTGGTGTTATGATCCTGGATTGTCATAATGGAACTTGAGTAGTAGGGGAGGGGGTATTAGACACTGTTTCTTTTCATGATAGATTATGGTTTGGGATAGTTGGGGTTTGTTTTTCTTATGCCTGGTGTACTCTTAGACATTTTCTTTTTCTTGCTGTGTTCTGTAACAATTTTTGGTTCTTTCCCTTTAGCATTTGTACATTAATGAAAACAAAAAGCCAATATAACATAATAGATTAATTCATAATGATCGATAAAATTAGCTCATCATGTCTAAAAGTCCAAACCGAAACTCACACTAATACTTCAATTGCAACATGTATTGTGTAATTTAAATTATACAGTTATGTATATTGTTAAAGATGTGATATAATTTGGATAATGTTAATGTTTAGCTGTTGATTAGGTTTATAACACCTTTATGGAAAATCAATTAGCTTACAAGAAATTTATGAAATAAATATTGATAAAATATCAAAGGAAATGTTTACAATTTTGTTAAGAGACATGATATCCAAATAGACGTCATCACACATAGAGTATTGTAATGTATATGGAACTAAAAGTTTAGAGTTGATCAAAAGATGGCACAAGAGTATACTAAACTACACTTAAAACTGAAAAGTGCAATCAGAGAAGCCAATTATGATTTTGAAAAGAACAGTCAGTTCACAAAGAGAAGTCAAAGTATCCACATGTAAATATTATGTGAAGATGTAAAATGAGAATATAAGAATATAACGTGTACAAATGAACCAAGAACTAAATAAGAGACTGAAATAAGCGATAACTGTCGGACCCAGCGAGAGCATCAAAGGGGCCCCTCATCATAACATCCGAAACCCAAGATAGGAGTCGACAATGTAGTATAAAAAAAGATAATAACAACATTACAAGTATATAATGGATGATGATGTAAAGTTTAAACTGTTAATTAGGTTTATGACACCTTGATGGGAAATCTAAAAGTAAACAAGAAATTTGTGAAATAAATATTGTTATTATATCGTTGCTAGACTTTGTGTCCTTTGATTGGCTGATTCAGTACCATGTGATCAAAAATATCAAAGCGTATTTCACAGCTCCCTTAATTTTTGAATAATAAAAGATGTATTTCCCGGCGTATTGCCCGCCCAGGAATTCTGAATCATCCCATTTCGTCCAGTACAGTTGTGACGTGCATTAAAATGGCAGACGGAAAAAGATTTAAAAGTCTGAATTCCGATGAAAAGAACGACATCTTGAGGGATGTGCATTCTAAAAAACATCATTAAATCAACGGAAAAGTCTTGGAACATTTTCAAGTGTAATGTGAACGAAAAAGATATCGAAATAGACGTTAAATCTATTGATAATATCATTCTGGATGGAATTTTAGAGGATTTTTTTCTTGAACTGCGAATGAAGGATGGGGAATATTACATGAGTGCCAGTCTGCAAAGTATTCGTCATGGACTCAATAGGCACATTCAAAGTCTATGCAATGATATAAATATCATCAACGACTCTGATGACTGACTCTGTCCAGTATGTGTTATTGATTAAAAATAAATGTTCACAGGTTAAAACAAATGTTATTTATTTCTTTTAAATGCATTTATTGATCGTAGCAAATGTCTAGCAGTGATATAATAAAACAAATATTTCATTCTTTGTTCGGGCAATACCTGTTGGACTTTCAATGATTTTTGCAGCATGTGTTTCCCTCACCCTTCGGGCTGCGGGCAATACATGCTGCAAAAATCATTGAAAGATGAACAGGTATTGCTCTCCATAGAATGAAATATTTGCTTAATAATATTGGAGACACAGTATCTAAATAGACGTCATCACACATAAAGTAAATTTAATATTGAATGAATGTAATGGTTATTGCTACTTCAACCACATTATTTTTCATACCCACAGGCTGTATTTGTATCAAGAAAATGGTTCATTAAACTTAGTTTAGATAAACATTCAAATATGGATTACAACAAGGTCAATATTTATTAGCATAACAAGAATGATTGATGATAATAATGATGAATAAATACTTTCTCTCTTCCTTCCTCCAGAATATGACATAACACGATAGGATGTCACGTTACATTGCATACTGCAACCTAAGTCATGTAACACTATGTCATGTTAACTTTGTGGTTTATGGAAGACAACAGAACACAAACTGAAATATACTTGGAAGCTTTTATCGCTATTAAATTAATCAAAATGCATTGACACGGCTGTAAGTGTACAATAATGTGGATATCAGAAAGGCATGTAGAAGTCACACAATATAAGAAAGACATATAGAAAAGACAAATACGTCATATGCCAAAGATGACAGTTTCACTTATTAATGGTTCATATCTCTTTGAACCTTCACCAATAGGACTAAGCATTGTATTCATAGCATTGGACTTTATAGGAGTCCTTTCTAATTTATGCATCATCTACATAATAACCAGAACCCGGCCTTTATGGAGCACAAGTGGCCACTATATGTTTGTGATATCTTTGCTGGACTGTCTCACATGCTGGAATTTCATCGCAGTTGACCTTCAGGTGTTAGATGGTGAAATTAATGTCTATCTATGTACATTTAATTGCTGCTTATCATATGGATTAATATACAGTAGAATGTGGATTTTTGTCTGTATGAGTGTTGATCGAGCTGTGATGTTAAGGTACCCCCTCAGATACGCAACTATTGTAACTACAAAAGCAACCAAAGTGGTGTTAGGTATTGTTTGTACATGTAGTATGGCAACCATGGTACCAATAGCTTTACAGCTAATAATGTTCAGAGAGGATGGATATATGTGTGACCTCAACTATACATCTCACTCACCATATATATATGTCTTTATGGCATCTTGCACAATGTGTATTGGACTTATAATATTAACATACATCAACATCTTTTTAATGGTGAGAACACAACAGAAAAAAATCAATGTTATTGTTGTTGAAAAAGACAACAGTATTATACAAACTCATCACAGAAAGAACACTGATTTCAAATTAAAAATAAAAGCAATAAGAATGCTTCTTTTTGTTATTGGAACATTCTATTTAGCATGGGGACCATTTTTGTCCCTTATTATATTTTACGAGTTCATCTCTAAACAGAATATAGGCAATCATCACCTGACTAGACTTTGTTTCATCATGATGAGAGTGAGTTTTTCTATGAATTTTTTCATTTACCTCTTCACTGATAGAGTTTACAAAAAAGGATTTAAACGCTACATGTTATATTTGGACAAAAATAAGGTACAAGGAATTGGGTCAAACAGTGATTGAACATAGATTAATGGCAACCATGCGCATGGTGATGGTACTGGGAATGGTGTAGACTTTGTTTGCAAACAATAAACTGACCATTCCTATCAAGTTCACTTGTAAGCCATTGCAGAAAACATGGAAGTGACATCATTAACTCTTGTTTACTTTGGCATTAGAAATGGATTCCAATGAAAAGGAAAGTAGGGAAAACCTAGCAACTCTGAATGACAAAGGGAGCACTTTACAGATTCATTAAATAATACCTATTGTTACAGATTATGACATGTCAATTAGTCAATTCAACATAATGGATGATAATGGTATAGGATTCAGACAAAAAGGTTGAAACAAATAAAGGAGTGTTAGTACGTAATCACTCGAACATTTTCATGGTGTTATGGTGTAATACGATATTATAAGGTTTAGCAAACATAGTAGCCTGGCCAAAACAAGTCATGCCTCTCTATTTTCTCAATTACTTTCTCAATTTTGAATATTTTTTCATGAAATTTTCACAGAATAAACTTTAAAGAATTCCTAACATACAAATTTTTTTATATGGTAAATGCCTCATTAATATCATTGTTACAACCTTTTAAAAAATAATGTCATATTCTGTTGATGGGTCATTTTTGTCGCCATTTTTTCTAAAAAGGTATGAAAAATCTAAATAACGTTTTGTCCTAATACGGTCTACAAATTTGATTGCAGTCTTTGATAGGGGATCATTTATCTTTTTTAGTGTTCTAAATCCACCATACTATTTCAAGACCTCATGATCTCAAGCTTCTATACTGCTCGTCCCATAAAAGGCATTACTACTCGCCTATTGTCATACTTGATGGAGATAAAAGATGCTTTCAAATGGCGACAAAAATGACCAGTCAACAGAATATGACATTATTTTTTAAAAGGTTGTAACAATGAAATTAATGAGACATTCACCATATAAAAAGATTTGTATGTTAGGAATTCTTTAAAGTTTATTCTGTGAAAATTTCATGAAAAAATATTCAAAATTGAGAAAGTTATTGAGAAAATAGAGAGGCATGACTTGTTCTGGCCAGGCTACTATGTTATTGATGTTTTTGATGGTTATCATGCAAATAGCCTATCAGGCACACACTGTCCAGATGACCTATTGATACTATGAATGCTTACCTCTTGAGTAACACATTTAAACATTAGTTAGGTTAAAAGAAGGTTGACTTCAACAGCAGGAGGCAATAAAACCTGAATACACACTTATTCTGTTTGTGTGATCCCAAGAATCAAGCAGTTTCTTTTATTTTAGTTGGAAGTCAAGATTCTAACTGAAGCATGCCTCATACATTTCCTGAACTCGATATGAATGAAAATAAAAAATCAAGACTTTCAGACCTCTTGGCAGTGTATTACCTTGGATTATAACCCTAGAAAAGATGGCAGATGCAGGGGTGAATGGATCTTACAGCTTTCAACCACCCTCCTTGGGACTGAGTATCATACTTATATCTCTTGACTCACTGATGGCTATAACAAACATTGCCATAATTTGTGTGATCATCAAGACCAAGGATCTATGGAGTGTGAGTGGATACTACATGTTTCTGATTGCATTACTTGACAGCACAATGGGAATCATTCTTCTTGAAGAAGTGAATCAGGTTATTGATGGAAAGATTATTGAAATAAGGTGTAGAATCCAGGCATACATGCTGATTGCTGTATTATACTGTAGAATGAGCCTGTTTACCTGTATGAGTATTGATAGAGCCATCATGTTAAAATACCCATTGAGATATAACACAATGGTAACAAAATTTAAAACAAAGATTATTCAAGGAGTAGTTTGTGGATTTTGCTTTCTATTTATACTCCCTGTTCTGATAGGACAGTATACATACAGAGACTATGGTTATTTGTGTGAGGTGAACTATCAATCACAGTCTATTTACATCTACATCTATTTTGGGATGGGTATGCTTATATGTGCCATCCTGACTTTAGCAAATGTTTCAATATTTATAATGGTGAGAGCCCAGCAGAAGAAGATCAATGTCATTTCTGTAAATGGAGATGGAGAGAGTTTTGATATGCAGGTACAAAACAAGAAAAGAGCAAATTTCAAGTTACAACTGAAAGCTGTTCGGATGTTGTTTCTCAGCATTGGTATCTTCTACATAGCAATAATGCCTCACACAGTTTTCATTATGACGTATCAAACTTTCACAAAAACCGAATTGAAACCAAATGAGCTGACAACATTGAGCTTCTTTTCTATAAGAATAGCATTTATCTCTGGCTTCTTCATATATTTTTTCACAGACAGATCCTATAGAAATGGATTTAATAAATATGTTCTTTGTTGCAATAAAACTAGAATAATGAATAACATTGACCATATAAAATCAACATCAAAAACTATTAATGAATAAAGCTAAGATGGCTCAAAACACACAGCTGCCTGGCTGCTAATGACAATTATTTCAACTCTTGACAATAAATTTGGTAAAATTAGCTGCCTATTGGGCAAAGGATTGAATGCCAATAAAGTAAATTGTGGAATGTTTTCAACCTTAGAATCGTGGTAATTGTTCAAAAACTGAATTCATTTCTCAATCACTACCTACATATGTATAACTGATGGAATGTTATAGTAAAATAAAACAAATTGAAGACAATATCAAACAAATAGTCTGTCGAACACTTTTTGCCCCACATACGCAACATTCTAAACTTTCAAGAGATGTTCTGAAAATTAAATAATGTTTTGCTCTCATCATTCCTAGGTCACAACTTTATAACAATTCTAAATAATTACAAATATCAGCATTCAAGCCACCATTTTGAAAAATACCAGCTTGGTTGATACCATACATGTATCTGTCCTCCAAATATAGAGTATATTCAAATACATGCACTGTAACATGACATAAATTTCTGTGACTATGTCACCATTGGCTACAACCAATAGACAACAAATTCAATCATATGTCTTCTATTAGCATTCATGTCACCATTGGCTACAACCAGTGCAGCTCTCCTCAGTCATCACAGGTGTCTAGAGGACTTAAAAAGTCTTGTGAAAGACTGATCAGTAAAAAAGGGGCTGAACATTTGTATTCAAAAACTATAGTGATATCATACCATGCATCAACAGTCAGTGACAAGGGTCTTTTGATTCCTCCCTCAAATAGGATTCAAAACTGTCCTCATTATGTTATATTCCCTCATATTCCCAAGAGTAAAATTGAGAATTTACAAAAAGGGATTCAAACGCTCAAGATACATTGGAACACACATAAAGTACAAGCGCTTGGTTCAAGCAGTGATGGTTGAACAGAGACTAATGGCACCCGTGGTGCTAATGGGATTGACATAAACTTTGTTTGCAAACCATAAACTAATAATCATTCATACCAGGTCCACATATAAACCATTGCAGGAAACAGGGAAGTGACATCATTAACCCTAGTTTACTTTGGCACTACATATGGATTCCAGTGGAAAGGAAAGTGGTGAAACCCTTGGAACTCTCAATGCCAAAGGAAGCACTTAACAGCTCCATTACATATACAGATTGTTAAATGTCAATTAGTCAATTTCAAATTAATGGGTAATAATGGCATTAGGATTCAGACATAGGGGTTGAAACAAAGCAGTATCAGTGTGTATTCAGTCATTTTCATAGTGTATCAAGGGCTGGTATCGAAAGATCTGTGACGGAGAAATACTAAGAAAACAATTTATTTTTGAACTCATATGTTTCGTGAAATCAAAGAAAATTACTTACTCCATGCAATGAATACATCGTTTGTGGGTAACCATCACTTCTGTTCGAAGTCCAATAACACTAGAAGTAAACGCTTCCTCCATGTTACAAATGGTACATATTAGAGTATGATACTCAGGAGCCATTTTCAATAGCTTTTACTCCTAGCATTATTGGACTTCAAACAGAAGTGAAGATTACCCGCAAATGATTGTCCTTGGTATAACAAACAATATGGGTTGAAAAATAAATTGTGAAGTTTTGAAAAATAGCATGCTCTGTCACAGCGGACAAATCTTTCGATACAAGCCCTTGGTAATGGTGTAATATAATGATTTTCCTCATAAGTAAACACAAACTGATAGATAGGTTAAAAGATGGTTGGTTTATTTAACATTAAGAAATAAAACCTGAATACACACTCATTCTGTTTATGCGATCCCAAGAATCATCAAGTTTATTTTATTTGGAAACCAAAATAGATGAACCTGACTGAGAGAAAAATAAAATCAGACTTTGAGACCTCTTAGCAAAGTTCCTCTTGAAAAGATGGCAGTTGAAGAAATAAATGGATATTACAGCTTTCAACCGCCCTCCTTGGGACTGAGTATCATACTTATATTTCTTGACTCACTGATGGTAATTACAAACATTGCCATAATGTATGTGATCATCAGAACAAAGAATCTATGGAGCACAAGTGGACACTACATGTTTCTTATTGCATTACTTGACTGTACAATGGGAATCATTTTTCTTGAAGTCGTGCATCAGGTTATTGATGGAAAGATTATTGAAATAAGGTGTAGAATCCAGGCATACATGATGATTGCTGTAGTGTTCTGGAGAATGAGCCTGTTTACCTGTATGAGTATTGATAGAGCCATCATGTTAAAATACCCATTGCGATATAACACAATGGTAACAAAATTGAAAACAAAGATTATTCAAGGAGTAGTTTGTGGATTTTGCTTTCTATTTGCACTCCCTGTTCTGATAGGACAGTATATATATAGGGACTATGGTTATTTGTGTGAGATGAACTACCAATCACATTCTATTTACAGCTACATCTATTTTGGAATAGGTATGCTTATATGTGCCATCCTGACTTCAGCAAATGTTTCAATATTTAAAATGGTACGAACACAGCAGAAGAAAATCAATGTCATTTCTGTAAATCATGAAGGAGCCAATTTTGACATGCAAGTACAGAAAAAGAAAAGAGCAGATTTTAAATTACAACTGAAAGCTGTTCGGATGTTGTTTCTAATAATTGGTATCTTCTACATAGCAATTATGCCCTACACAGTTTTCGTTATGACATATCAAACTTTCACAAAAACTGAATTGAAACCAAAGGAGCTGACAACATTGAGCCTCTTAACTATAAGAATAGCATTTATCTCTAGCTTCTTCATATATTTATTCACAGACAGATCCTATAGAAATGGATTTAATAAATATGTTCTTTGTTGCAAAAAAAATAAAGTAATGACTGAGAATGAAGAGTACTACAAATCAACATCAAAAACGATTAATGAATAGAGCAGTAATCAAAACTCACATCTGCTTGATTGCCAATGGTAATAACATTTCACTCATGGCAGTGAGCTTGGCAAAACTAGTGGCCTATTGGGAAATGGACCGAATTGCAATATAGTAAATTGTGGAAATCATGTTTTCAATCTCAGTTGTGAACCATGACAGTATGTTCCTTCACAAATTACACTTAATCTCAAGTGTTACGTGATTATCTGGATTCAGAATTGCTCAACTTTATACTTCAATACAATTTTGTCTTTGTGGGCATACATGGTGAGTCTGTATAGTATGAAAGACCAGAAAGTATCAAAAATTGTATATGTACAAGAAGCAGTGTTCAATGTCCACCTCTGGCCTCACCAGTCAGATACAAAAGAAATTTTGTAGCAATCCACAAACATGTATGTGGAATTTGGCACTTTTGAGTTTGATTGGCACACATGAGTGAATCAAATTGTGAAACATCTGATTCAGTAAATTCACAATGAGATGAATTGTGAAATTTGCTGACAAGTTTGCACTACTCCAAACTTTTTAAAAACCTATTACATGTCTCATTAACTACCTGATGGGATGCAATAAAAAATCAAACAAATGGAAAACAATATCAAAAAATGATCTGTTTTGAACACTATTTGCACCACATAACATTGTAAACATTGCTACAAGTAAGAAATGATTTGAGAATAAAACAATGTTTTGCTGTCATCATTCCAACTGAGCACAATTTCATTACACTTCTGAATAGTTACAAATCTAACCATTCAACTAGCAAACATTTTGCAACGTCACTGTCAAAGTCATTTTGGAATTGGGCTCAATCAATACCACCTGTCCTCTAAATATAAAGTATATTCACATGCATGCACTGTAATATGACAGTTTAAAAAATTTCAGGAACCCCAGGAACCTTTTCCCAGGTTCATGTCATTGTAGGTACATAATAGGGCCTACAATTGCATATATGATAAAACCCCAAACCTTAAATCAAACTCTCAACAGAAGAATAGACAAGAAACATGATCATATGTTTTCTATTAGTATTGACTTTGTCACCATTGGCTACAACCAGTTCAATATTATCCTTGAAAGCAGGATGTAATTAAAAATCTGGCAATTATCAAATCCCAAACAAAATGTAATCAGCTACAGAACAATAGCCTCAATTAAGTGTTCCTGTTGCTCCCAGAAATTGAAGTAGAGAAAACATTCAGATTTCTGAGTCCTGTAAAAGCATGATTCGGGACCAAACAGTGATGCATTAGCAACTTAATTGTGTATTTGGTTCGGATAATTTGGAAATTGACAATTATGTGATGATTTGTTTGTTCTCATTGATTGTCTTTAAATTGCTCTTTATTTGTCTTCTGTCTATGATATGCATGTATTTTAATCACACTTCAACTGCTAACAGACGAACATTATGTTGACTCTAATCTATCAGCTGAATAAAAGGAAATCAAATGTTAGAAACTTATAAACTTACAATTTGATATTTTCAATTTAAGATGAAATCTGTGGAAGCGAATGGATCATATTATTTTGAGCCTCCTTCTCTGGGACTAAGCTTCATATTTATATCATTTGACATACTCAGTGTTGTAACAAACATTGCGATTTTGTATGTGATCCTACGAGCCAAACCATTATGGAACCCATGTGGACACTTCATGTTTCTGGTTGCATTACTGGATACTGCTGAAGGAACAACAACTCTTGGAATTATCGACCAGATATTAATTGGTAAAATTAGCAAACTAAGTTGTAGGATCCAGGCGTACCTATTACTCGCTGTAGCATATGGTAGGTTGTGCATATTCACCTGTATGAGTATAAACAGAGCTATCATGTTGAAATACCCATTGAGATATGAAACATTGGTGACAACATTTAAAACAAAGATAGTTCTATTGATAATATTTGAATTGTGCTTTCTGTCTACACTACCTGTTCTACTTGAACAACACACATACAGAGATCATGGATATCTGTGCGAGATCAAGTATATTACAGATCTAGAGTCTGTTTTTAACTATATATGGTTTGGAATGATAATGTTAATTTCCACCATCCTGATTGTGGCAAATGTTTCAATATTTATAATGGTAAGAGCACAGCAGAAGAAAATCAATGTCCTAACTGTAAATGAAGATGGCCATCTTAATATGCAGGGACAAAGAAAGAAAAAAGCAGATTTTAGACTACAACTGAAAGCAATACGGATGTTGTTCCTTGCAATTGGCATATATTTCATTGCGGCACTCCCATATATGGTATTCGTAATGGTTTATCAAACATTTACAAAAACTGAAATAAGTATATGGGAGTTGACAACAATGAGTATGATCTTCATGAGAATAATCTTTTTCTCTAACTTCTTTGTATATCTTCTCACAGACAGATCTTTTAGACATGGGTTTATGCACTATGTTCTGAATCTTAACAAAACCAGAATAAGGCATGTTACAGGGCATTCCGAATCGATATCTCTGTGATAATTTATATATACATATATTATTAAATTTTAAATATATAGAACAAAGGGCCTTGGATGCTCAATAACCATTGAGGTTGAGGTGAGCAAATTACGCAAAATAGGATAATAAATGTCATTGAACATCAATGTCTATGTGTTTAAGGATGATAGACAATGACTAGTTCATTTACCACTTAGTGATTGAAATGGCATATCTAGTTACTGCAATTAAAGTATGTCACGATAACAATTTCCCCAGGGGAATGTCCTGTCAATTGATTATTAAAAGTGGGTAGGGTTCAGGGATAAATTGATCTTATATTTAACTCCCTTCTTCAAATGGAGTATAACGTGAACATTTTCAAGAACACACTGTAAACTTATATTTTGATTTAATAGCTTGTATCATTTTATAATTGGAGAGGCCATTGGTTGTTTTCAAGTTCAATTGCTTTAACACTGGTCACTGTAGTCAGTATCTCTGGCTGGAGATTAATAGGTGTCCAGAAATGCTAGTTAGGTGCTGACTTGATCATAGGATAGAGCTGGTAACAGAGAATGCTCTCTCTAAAGAATTTGAGTGTACTATCCTTACTTGGTTTGTTTACTTCGTGATCGATAAAAGTAGTTATATTAAAAATCTGTTGGGGGACTTCAATGGTGTACTATATAAAATAGTACAGCACCATTTTTGGCTATATAGTGTACCAGAATAACTGGGAGACACACGTTCATAGCAGTGAACAGTAAAATATTTGGGATTATTTTCTGCGGATGGATGTGCTTGATAGTGGTGGATTGGTCAATGTAAATAAATATAATGAGATTTTACCACACCATCTATATAAGAGAGCAGAAGTTTTGATTTTCGTGGTAATTTTTTTTATATTTCGACAGGAAGATAAGTGAATATGCACAAGGAGCACACACGTTTCGAATTTGCAACCTCGTGGTTACGGCACCTATACGCCTAGCTGAATATGCTGGCGCTCAAGCCCTCTCAACCAACTTGACAACCCCAAAAAAGGTTGTTTTATTAGTCGATCTGACTAGAGGCAGCGGATGTTAACATTGAACACACCAGAGGAAGCACAATGGACATTTTCTACACACACACATTGCTCAACTGTCCTTATTGCTGTATTTCACTGAAATTCCTTGAAAATCGATGAGCTGGGTCAGATTTGAGAAATCCTTAGTTGAACTTTGTCAATTTAACATGGATCTCAATGGAACAAAATGTAATGAGAGCTCTACCGATAAACAATCAGGGCAGAGTTTCAGTGATCCAGCCAGTGATAGATAAAATGCTCACTCTGACCAGGTCATTCCAGGGATGCTACTTCCAGCTAACCTGGGGTCAGAGATGCCCTCAATCAGAGTTTCAGCGATGCTGCTCTCAGCTAATGAAATGACCTGAGATGGTTCGCGTCAACTTGCAGAGTTTGGGTTGATTGTCAACTGGCCAGCTTGGGAGCACTCTTTGCTGAAACGCTGAATCGCTTATCTGCTCTGTGTTGTTGTAGCTAAGGCCATTACTTTTTGATCACTGATCAGTTTAAGTATAAAAACTGCACTTGTAAAGTTTTAGTTAGTAAACATGTGTTAATTGTAACTATTTTGGACTAAACTTTAAGATTATTAATAAAACTATGAGTATTAATGAGTCAACTTGTTCGTCATTTCTTACAAAATTAGACTGAATTTAATTAAATTAAATTTATTGAACTGACCAAAAGGGTCCAAGGTTGTATCCTTGTTGCACATAGTGTTACAGAAAACATTGCTGTATTGTATGATCATCATGACCAAGCCTTAATGGACTATTGAGAGGGATACTTTTGGAATTTTCGAAATTGTTCCTGGTGAGAAATTATTCACAGTTCAAAATGGCTCAAGTACTGATGGATTATAAGACAGACAAATGACAGATACAGATGGAAAGACAGACAAATGTCGGAGACAGATGGATAGACAGACAAATGTCAGATACAGATGGATAGACAGACAAATGTCAGATACAGATGGATAGGAAGATAAAAGATAGATACAGATGAATGACAGACAAATGACAGATACAGATGGATAGACAGACAAATGTCAGATACAGATGGATGACAGACAAATGTCAGATACAGATGGATAGACAGACAAATGTCAGGTGCAGATGGATAGACAGACAAATGTCAGATACAGATTGATAGGAAGATAAAAGATAGATACAGATGAATGACAGACAAATGACAGATACAGATGGATAGACAGACAAATGTCAGATACAGATGGATGACAGACAAATGTCAGATACAGATGGATAGACAGACAAATGTCAGATGCAGATGGATAGACAGACAAATGTCAGATACAGATTGATAGGAAGATAAATGATAGATCCAGATGGATAGACAAACAAATGACAGATACAGATGGATAGACAGACAAATGTCAGATACAGATGGATGACAGACAAATGTCAGATACAGATGGATAGAAACATAAATGACAGATACAGATGGATGACAGACAAATGTCAGATACAGATGGATGACAGACAAATGTCAGATACAGATGGATAGAAAGATAAATGATAGATACAGATGGATAGACAGACAAATGACAGATATAGATGGATGACAAACAAATGACAGATACAGATGGATAGACAGACAAATGACAGATACAGATGGATAGACAGAAGAGGGAATGGACAAACAAACAGAAGAGTGGGAAATTCCATAGGCTATCATGAACTATTCAATCAGCCAACAAAATAAATGCTTGCATCAAAACAAACACTGATCCACATAACAATGTAAGTACTGATGAAAACCTAAATACTGACCTCTAATCCTCAAAAATATTGATTTACTGACGTATCCAATATTGTGTAAAATATCTATTTTTCAAAGAGACCTTGAAAACATGCTTTTCCAAATGTCATTGGAGATAAACCAGAAGGATGTGTTTTCTACTACTTACTTAACTAAAACTTTGTTGGGTGAGATAATTAATTTGCTCGCATTATAAATAAATCATGTACCTTTGGGAACGGCTAGTGTAAAATGTCTCAACTATCCAAAATCTGAAAATATAATTTAAAGGGTTACATATACCTTCCCGTATAAATACATGGCGACTCCAGGCGAGTCCACTGGATCAGTCTATTTAGGGGAGTTCAGTATATTCCAGTTTATTCAAATTTATCCAAAGATAAAACAATGCATAAAAAAGTTTTCAATCAGTAAATATTGAGAGGTTGAGTGGGTGACTTATCCAAAGGATGCATGAACAAATATAAATCCTTGTATGAGTCCAAAACGTTTTCTTTCATTTATGAATAGGACATTTCATAAGACCATGGTTTGTACTTTTACTTGGTAGGTAAATTAAGATATCAATTTTTCCATTAAACACAAACAGAAGATCATGAAACTTCACCAATATAAGGTAAATATAAGGCGATCTATACTACACTATTGCTACATAAACAAGCAGAGGTGTTTACACACCGACCCCAACCTGCACACCCTTGCGTATTATTCCGGGATTGTGCCTTTTATACTAAACCGTGAGCAACACCAAAAACGGGCGTTCGATTTGCTAAACGATATGTGTTACCCTTTAAACACTAATCAGAGTATGGAAAAAGATGTTATGAGTGCAATGTGGAATGACCATTCCTTGAAGGTGTTGCTTTCCAAAATTTGCAGGAGATGCAGCATTGAGTGTTAACTTTAGGAAACAACACCTGAAAAGAATGGTGATTACATGAAATAATTAATATACATATAAAAAGCAGTGAAGGTCCCCCTCCTACCTCAATTGTCAGGTATGAAAGATATTTTCTAGCTACATTCCATCTACAGACAAGTGTAATTTGGTACATGTGAACTGTAATGTATCAATAGATAGATAGACAAATGCTACTGTATGTGTCTTTCAAGTGTTGGCAATATCACCATTAGTAACAACAAGTATAATTCAACAATAATCTTGAACAAATGAAAGGAGAAAGTGGATCAAAAAATCATCAATCAAAATCATGCAAATGCAATCGATTTTCTCTTAAGAAACTGGCAATTGATACTGATTGTGCTGCATCGATTCTTTTGTTCACATTGATTGTCTTTCATTTGTTTTTCATTGCTTGTCTTATGTCTGTATAATATACATGTATTTTAACCACACTTCAACTGCTAACAGATGAACAACATGTTGACTCAAATCTATCAGCTGAATAAAAGGAAATTAAATGTTAGAAACTTATAAACTTACAATTTGATATTTTCAATTTGAGATGAAATCTGTGGAAGGGAATGGATCATATTATTTTGAGCCTCCTTCTCTGGGACTAAGCTTCATATTTATATCATTTGACATACTCAGTGTTGTTACAAACATTGCGATTTTGTATGTGATCCTACGAGCCAAACCATTATGGAACCCAAGTGGACACTACATGTTTCTGGTTGCATTACTGGATTCTACTGAAGGAATAACATCACTTGGGGTTGTCAACCAGATATTAATTGGGAAAATTAGTGAACTAAGTTGCAGGATCCAGGCGTACCTATTAATAGCAGTGGCATACTGTAGGATGTGGCTGTTTACCTGTATGAGTATAAACAGAGCTATCATGTTGAAATACCCTTTGAGATATGAAACCTTGGTGACAACATTTAAAACAAAGATAATTCTATTGATAGTTTTTGGATTGTGCTTTCTGTCTACCCTACCTGTGTTACTTGAACAACACACATACAGAGATCATGGCTATCTGTGCGAGATCAAATATATTACAGATCTAGAGTCTGTCTTTAACTATATATGGTTTGGAATGATACTGGTCATTTGCAGCATCCTGATTGTGGCAAACGTTTCAATATTTATAATGGTAAGAGCACAGCAGAGGAAAATCAATGTCCTTTCAGTAAATGGAGATGGAAACAGTTTTGACATGCAGGTACAAAAAAAGAAAAAAACAGATTTTAGACTACAACTGAAAGCAATACGGATGTTGTTCCTTGCCATTGGTATACTTTTCATTGCCGCAATCCCTTATATGGTATTCATAATGATTTATCAAACATTCACAAATACTGAAATTAGTATAAGTGAGTTGACAACAATGAGTTTGATCTTGATGAGAGTAAACTTTTTCTCAAACTTCTTTGTTTATCTTCTTACAGACAGATCTTTTAGACATGGGTTTATTCAATATGTCTTGAATCTGAACAAAAACAGAATAATGGATGTTACAGATCATACAAAATCAATATCTATGTGATAATTTAAACTTAGTATTATATTTAAACTAAAAAATAAAGGTCCTCACATACACAGGTAAATTACATCGGATCCCGTACAAGCCCGTGCGGAGCTCGTTGAGTCAACAGGCCCTGTACAACCTTGTGCCGGACTCATTACGAGTCTTGTAATTGCTTGTAATTTTCGAGCCTAGTTTTTGATCCCTGTACTTGCTCTTACAGTGCCTGTTACGAGGCCCGTAATAGCTCGTAATTTTTGAGCCTTGTACTTGCCTGTACGATGTCCGTAACAAGGCCCGTAATGGGTCATAATTTTCAAGCACTCTACTTGCCCGTTTGGGGCTCGTAATTGGTCGTTTATTTTGATGAACACTTTTTGATCAATGAAATGACAGACAGCATACATGTACCAGGTCGTTCAATAAGTTCCCGGAAAAACGCTCTCATTTTAGTAGTTTATAATATTTTTAATTGAAATTTTCACAGTATGTGTGCAATTTATTTTCAAATCATTGTATTAAATTAATTTGAAAATGTCTAACTAGTTTTTAAGTTATCCAACATCATGTGACGTCACAAAAGGGTATGCGGGGCACTGTTTAGTATTGCGGTTTGGATTATTAAATCTAAACGTTTTCGTCACATTTTACGATATATTTAACACCCTTTGATGTCTTTGTATGCTTGTAAGATTATATATTCACATAGTCCTCCATTGTCATCTACATTAATTGCTCAAAATATGAACCATCGTGTTGAATACATAGCCTCTGTCTCTGAACCCATTGCTTGTATTGGTCACGGAACCCAGCTGGAAACTTCTCCTTTAGTGCATTCTGAACACCTGCTTTAAGAGCATCAACTGAGCCAAAGCGAATCCCCCTCAGAGCTTCCTTCAATCTGTTGAAAACAGCAAAATCTAATACTGCCGTTTCAGGTGAATAGGGTGCCTGGTCTTGCAGTTCCATTTGGAGATTGATGGAAATGGTGTCATGTACCAAGTTAGACCTATGGCTTGGAGCATTGTCCTGATGGAATATCCTAGAGGACAGTTGCCATTTTGGTGTCTGACTAATGACTGATGTCATGCAATAGTTGTGTGATGTCATGCAAAGATGTATGATGTCTTCAATCCAAGAATTTTTGCATCTTGTACAGCAATAATATGATGTCATATAGTAACCATGGCAACAGGACTGTTTATTCAGTTGAAATAAAACAAATACAAAAAAATGTGAACATATGATGAATAAATTGAAAATTGTGAAATTTTAACGTCAAAATAGTGCCCCGCATACCCTTTTATGATGTCACGTTATGAAGGATAAGTTAATAAATATGAAATATTGTATAAAAATATTTCTATACATAAATTCTAAATAAATTTTACACATACTGTGAAAATCTCAATAAAAAATACTACAAACTAACAAAATGAGAGCGTTTTTCCGGGAACTTATTGAACGACCTGGTACTTGAGAAATTTCCATATCAATTATATCTAATTATGTATTAATATGTCTTCAATAATTTTAAAATATTTTTATGTCTATATCAACATAATAAACAGTATAAAACCTTGAAAACAAAATAAACAGGGTTACCAATGGGAGACACCATATTTCTCCAAAACTAAAGTAAATGCATATTTCCATGCATTATTGGATTAAGTTGAAATGTGATGTAGATAAATATTATTGATGTTTGTATGAAAAATGTTTGATATGTTGAAACATGCAAACCTTAGATAGATACGTGAATGATGTTGCATGACATTAAATGATTTTTTTGTGCTGTAAAAGAGTCCGATAATGGGCCTCTTATGAACTTGTACGGGCCTCAAAATTATAAGCCTCGTACAAGCTTGTACAGGCCTCCAAAAGAACAATTACAAGCATCGTACAAGCTTGTACAGGTCTTGAAAACGAGCTCCATACAAGCCCGTATGAGGATCGTGCTCCTTTTTGCCCGTAATTCTCGAGGCCCATACGAGCTCGCATGGGGACCGATGTAATTTGCATGTGTACCCAATGACTGACCATGTACAATTTAAGTTATGGGAGTTAATGACGCAAAACAGAATTATTGATATCACTGACATATAGCAAATCAATGTTTATGTGTTCTCTAAAAGATGATAGACAATGAAGACATTAGTTATCAGAGGTAATTCTGCTTGACTCAAGGGACATATGGGTACTAAATTGATCTTATATTTAACTCCCTCCTTGAAATGGAGCATCATACTCTTGTTGCACTTAGTGTTAGAGCAAACATTGCTGTATTGTAGGATCATCATGACCAAGCCTTAATGGATTCTTGAGAGGAATACTTGTGGAATTTTCACAATTGTCCCTAGTGGGAAATTATCAAAACATTATATGAATATGTGGGCTTACATTGTGAAGGAAATCATGAATGAATCTGGGCATGGGATCAGACAAATACAGCAGTTCTCATTGCCCAAAATTGTGTAAAGATGAGAGGATGGGCAAAAAGATGTGGGCAATTTCATAAGACCTTCAAAGGGACCTTGAAAACACACTTTTTAAATGTCATTGCAGATAATCAAAGGTCAAATCTTGATTCTGATTAAAGATCAGAATTCAGAACTCTGGGAAAATTTTCTTTTAACTTGAATTTCAACTACAATCTCACACCAGGTATTTGATTTGATTTGATTTGATAACTATATTTATTCTGGGTAGCTCTATCAGTACAAAACTGGTCTTCCTTGAGGCCCAGTAATAATTTACAATTATTTACAATATGTACAATCACTAGGGCAGAGCATTTGTACTGAAAGGAGCGTTTTCAGTACAAATATGTACTGAAAAATGTACTGAATTTTTAAGTATATTTTTCAGTATAAATATGTACTGAAAAATATACTTAAAATTTCAGTGCAAATTTCAGTATAAATATGTACTGAAAAATGTACTGAAATTTTAAGTACATTTTTCAGTATATATTTATACTGAAAAATATACTGAATTTTAAGTGTGATTTTAAGTGCAAATATGTTCTTAAAAATATACTGAAAATTAAGTGTGATTTTAAGTGCAAATATGTACTGAAAAATATACTGAAATTTAAGGGCATATTTAAGTGTAAATTTATACTGAAAAATATACTTAGATTTTGAATTACGACATCTTCCTGACTTTGACATCCATACCATGAATTTTGCTATACTCGAACAAATGAGGTTCTATGTTCATGTTATATATTTTAATTTTGATATCAATTAATTAATTTGCTCAAGCAATATGAGTGAAAATCTCATGAAAAACTGAGAAAGAAGACTGAGAAGAAGACTGAGAAAATGTGTACCTTTAATGTTTTTGAATTTTAGAACTTAATAAGGTAGAATGTATCTAGAAACCTGAAAAGGTATGGAATACACATGTTATGTACGATCAGTTTTAAATAAAGGGATTATCCCTCAGGAAATATGGGTATCCAAAACCTCCCAGTACATAACCCTTATATATGCATTATATTTGATAGGTTTGATCGGGCTAAAAAGAAATTTATTGATGGAGAAAATGCAATCAGATATTATTACAGGATGCGTCTTAAATAATTAAATCCAAAAACATAACTTATTAAAAGGAAAACACTTGATTACAGTAAACCTAGCCTCTCCAGTTTGATTAGAGTCTGCTTTAAAGGATGTGTCTAAAGAAACTTTATTAATCCATTAACAAAACAAAATATTTTGACAAGGCAAAACAAACCTGATTACAGAGAGACTCTTTTAAGTTTGGTTAAAGTCTGCTGTAAAGGAAGCATCCAAAATAATTTCATAATGTAATAGCATTCCTGGGGGGGGGGTTTCAGGGGTCCAAGCGAAACCCCCCCCCCCCCCCCCGGCCAAAAATTCTTTTAAAATCATGCACTTTTTCACCATTCTAAGAACTTTTTGAGTGATTTAGAGTTTATAAAGTATGCCTTACATTTACGTTTTCTCTTATTTCCATTATTGGGCACAAATATTTCTCATTGCATATATTTATACTTAAAATTATCCTTAAATTTCAGTATATTTTTCAGTACATTTTTATACTGACTTTTGCACTTAAATTTCAGTACACTTTTCAGTATATATTTGCACTTAAATTTATCCTTAAATTTTCAGTGCATTTTTCAGTATATTTTTGCACTTAAATTTGTCCTTAAAATTCAGTACATTTTTCAGTACATATTAATACTTAAATTTGTACTTAAAATTCAGTATATTTTTCAGTACATGAATTTGTACTGAAAAATATACTGAAAAAAATTCAGTGCATTTTTCAGTACAAAAATATACTTAAATTTGTACTGAAACAAAACTAGTACATTTTTCAGTACATATTTGTACTGAAAACGCTCCTTTCAGTACAAATGCTCTGCCCTAGTGAATAAATATAGAAACATACAAATAGGACATATAGAGCAATTTAATATATATACATCTTCAAAGTATGCATTTACATGAAACATAGAGAACAACTTATA